TAAGGTATATTATAGTGGGGGGGTGAACAAGATTTTGGCCAGCTTTTAGAACATTTAAATAAAACCTGTGAGACAGTGAGAGAATGCTGTTTGTTTGCTTGTTTATAAAACATTTTCTCCTTTTAAGTAAAAGCAGACCGAAGAGCAAGCCCGAACTACTTAAAAAACCCTGTAGTAACCACAACAAACGATGTACAAACACACACAAACTCTTCATGCGTACAGTTAACCAGATGACCAATGCCCCAGAAAAGGGCATGTGCATGCCCTACCTCAAGGACCTGCCACACTTTTTTCCCATTTAATCTTATGCCTGTACGTGAGAAAAGGGATCAGCATTCTATTCTGGAAACTTGCAAGCAGAGAGCTTCCAGGAAGGTGTAAAACAAAAGATGACTTCATTCAGGGTAACAGCAGTAGGTGTAGAATAAAATCCCTACTTTTGTTTAACTAAGAGTGAGACCATAACTATTTTGCAGATCCATTTCATCTGTCAAAAATTGATATGGTCCCAATTCATAAAATAACACAATAAAGCTTAAAGGCACGATTCTATCTCGATACATATGAACACATGCTACATAAAGCAAGGAAATATATAAACATGGCTGTTTACAAGCCAGTTGGAAAGCATAATAACCAAAAATATACATCACACTATCTTAACAAAATAATGTTTAATGATGACAGTTTAAGTTTGCAATTACATGACATTCTTGAGCAAAATACCACTTCTACTTATGGCAAAAGATTTAAAACTGCAAAAACAAGCGAAGCATTTATTCATTTATATGCCATTTCAAGATGAAAAACCCTGCCAAGGGCAACACTATAGCAGTGTAGCACATCTTTCTTTCTCTTTTTTCTTTTACAGAGCAGTAAAGGTAAAAAGAAGTTAAAGGAAAAAAAAAAACAAAACAAGGCAGTATCTACATCTACTGGCAATATCTAATGATCAATGAATCTGCTACTGAAATAAATTTGCTTAAAACAAAGCTCTTGCTTTAATGGTTTTTACACAGCAGGCTCCTGATGCGAAGAGGGGATGACTGATGCTGGCTTACAATATGGTTCTATAGTAAACTGTGCCAGTATTACTATCAAATCACCTCTTATGAAACTCCCTTTCTGCCCACCATGTAATCAATTTAACAAAGATCTAAACAACTTAACAGTTCAAACATTCAAATAAATCCCATTCTCCTCCTTCCCATCTACACTTATTAGAAGAATGAAAGTCACAAGTCACTGGAACACCAGAAATTGTTTTATCTGTTTACTTTATTAGACAAAACTACATATTGAATTCAAGTGAGTCTTGAAAAACAGCAATGGCTTCACACTTCACAATATGTGAGAAATAAGACGAGCACCAATTCTAAGGCACAACACAAGAGTTATGCCTGACCTGAGGAGCTTACTCACAATGTGTCTAAAAGAGCAAAAATAAAACTTCATCTGCAAGAAATTTCACGTCAGTTTTGTCCCTGTAACAGAATACCCAGATAATCACACTATGGGGTTTTACATAAAAGGAAACTGGTGGCAAGAAAAAGCCCATCATCCAGACAGAATAAACACTATTTTCAGCTTTATAATCTGCAAAACAAGTAGCTTGACATAAATCTACATGGGAAATAAAGAAATACAGTCAGGAAAAGAAGGCAAATTAGAGAAGCCTTCTTTCCCCAATCTAGCATTTCTCTTCTGCTTCCTGAAGTAAAACCACTTCAATCACACTCACATCACAAAATCAATAAAGAAAGACAAAAAAATGGTTAATGAAGAATATAGAAAGCATGACGGAAATTCATTTACAAGCTGAAAAGAAAGAGCAAAACTAAGGATGACAGACAGAAAGGATGACAGATTGTATGACTGAAACTACCTCAGCCTTCTAATTGACAGGATTATATAAACAGGATGTACTGATATTTTTAGGAGCAGAAATAAGAAAGATACACCAACTGGTGCAACAGGTAAGATATGATTCTGTAGTTTATTTTAAAATTGTATTTAGAATATGTAAGGCCAGTTTTAAGTCACAGCAACATAATCACATATATACAAAGAGACCTTCAGAGAGGTCATATAGTCAAACCTCCAATTCAAAGCAAGCCTAGCAAGAACAGGGTGCTTGGGGGCTTTGTCTAGTTCAATTTCCCCAATGATGGAGATTCCAGTCTCTCTTGAATTTTGTGGGGTTTACATTTCTGAGTTTGTTTCTTTCTTTCTTTTACAGAGTCACAGCGTCCCTCTTCCTAGTGTGTCCCTACTGTTTCTTGTCCTTCTGCTGTGCCCCTGAGACAAGTTCAGCTCTCCTCTCACCCACATCCCACAACTTGGTAGCTCTGCTAAAACTAAACAAGTACCTACTCCTTCCAATTTCTCTTGCTAAAATTTTAATCATATCAATTATAATTCTTTCTTTTTCAAAGGTAATCAGTCTCACATAAGCAGAGACATGTATGCTTAAGTAAGCACAGTTTGTAACTTTCTTCTGTCAGCAGCAGAATTTGACATACACTCACGACATTTTTTGGTTTTTTGTTTAGCATTAATTTTTGTATTCCACACTGGTTACCACTTGACGGTAATTCTACTGTGCTCTACCAGCAGAGAAACTTCTGCTGAAGTATCAGAAACAGAGACTTCAATCTCTTGTGCTGGGATTTGTTTTCTAGATGAGAAGTTGTCAAAGAATGGGAAAGTGCACAGAGGTGAGGTTTTACAGAGAAACGTGATAGAAGTGTTCACCTGCTGATTCTTCTTGAGAAAGGGAAAGGAGCAGCCATGGAACTCATCTGGAGATGGGGAAACAAGCAAGCCCCAAGGTGTTTTAGGACAACTTATTATTATTTATACAAAATAGTCCAGTCTACACAGAAATATTCCAATTACACAGTGAAATTATGATATCATTCAGAACCTGGGATCAGAGTGCAAACTTAAGAGGCTGACCACTAGAAGAACAGTCATTCACCAACCATCAAGTCACAATTATTGTGAATTATTCACAATAATTCAGGTAAAATTCTCACAGAAAGGAATACCAACTGCAAGGCTGTATTGGTGAGGACCTAATGCATCATTTCAACTTGCAGACTGAGGCAAAAAAAGCCTACTGACCTTCAGATGCCTGGATCACCCTTGGAGCCTGGATTTAGACTGTCCTTCAGTGTCACTTCAAATCATCAAAAAAGGAATTTGGCTACATCAAGGCTGGTACCTTTTACCTGTGAATCTGCCCCTGCCTTTCTCTTCAGCCCATCTTAGAAATTCAAAATATACGGAAGGCTTTACTCTAATTTTGCCTTCATCCTTCTATGATCTCTCTCACTTCACTGCACAAACCTTCTCTTTCACAGCTATGATAGCGAATGATGTAATTGGAACACCTATCAACAGATAAATCAGTACTCTTAAGGCCTATAAAGTTGGAATGTTTTGTGTATTTTTTAAGCCAAAATATTCAATCCATTCAACTGACAGTATATTTAAAACGTGACAAGGTGTCCAAGGCAGCAAAAAAGTAATTTCAATTTCACACACTGTGATATGTAGACATTGGAGCAGCTTTGTTTCTTCTATCTTAAAGGCTGTTTTACTAGGTCTTTATCGGCTGAGACTTCACCAAGATGCTTATGTGCAGTATTTTCAAGTCATAGAGAAATCAAGCATTTAATGGGAAAGTAAAAAGGAAGAAAATTAAATTTAAAGACACAACTGCAGTCTTTAAAGTTGCAGTTACATATAATCCAAAAGACGGAATGTGGTGACATTTACAAGAATATCATGGATACAATTAAGAATTCTATTTCATAAACCATCCAGCATTTTAATGAAAAAAGTTAATTCTCAATGGAATTTTAAAATGTAGATGAAGAAAAATTAACATGTAATTACACAGTGAAATTATCATAGCTTTATTTTAAAGTCAAAGGAGGGGAGTCTCCAGTATCATTGCCACTTACAGCATCTTTTGTTAGTTTATTTTATACACTATTTTTATTTCAAGCTAAGATTTCTACATTGCACCAGCACAATCCCAAAATGTTAATCAACCATGCCTGACAGAATTCCCCAGTGACTTGCAGCAAGTGCTGATGCTTCCACTAATATCCAGTCTTGAGCAACTCACTTTTGTTAGATTTCCCAGGATGGTGAGTGTGCTTTAGTTTCATCCTTCCATTTCCTGATCACCTCTCCATGATTAACAGAGCTGAGACTGCAGATAGAACTGAGCCTACATGTTCAGCTGCATCAGCTATGCACATCCATTTTGTTCAGCATCTAAAAACCAAGTGTTTCTCCAGCTCTAGGAACCAGACCCATACATTATCACTTCTGATTCTTAATTAAAAACAGAATCAGTTGAAATTAATTTTAATGCTTAATATAAAGAGCACAATTCAAAATCAGCAACAGATAACGAATCATGTGGTTTCACTAACTGGATGTGTAAACTAACAATATTCAAATTAATAGCTGCAATATCCATTTAAAATATCTTTTAAGAAGCTCCCTTGACAAAGCAACTCCAAAATGCCTTGAACTCCTCCACAAAAACCCCAAAACAGCAGTGACAACATTAGATGCAGGAATTCTCAATAATGTCTGTCTTGTAAAGAAATAACAAAAAGAACCAAAGAAAAAGCTCCAGCATCCACTGACATCTCATCAAGAAATTATTACCTGCTTTTAAAAGCACAGTTAATAGTTGTTGGGACATATACACTGGCTTTACCCTAAAAAGGTGGTATGAAATAAAGTCTGAACATGTGTGCAGATGTATTTGTGCATGTATCTTAAAGATCGGTCAGACGGATGTGGTCTGATGCCATGCTTATTTAATTTTGCTCAATTTATTATTTCATTACTGTTATTTAATTAACACTGTTCCCTCAGAAAGATGAGGGGTGGGTTTTGTTCATTGCACATGGGTTCCTTTTACACTTCCAGCCCCAGGATGACTGTCAATAGTGGAAGACAGAGCTTACCTGCTGAGCCTGGTACCTCTGCTGGGCCTGCGACAGATACTGTGCCTGGGGCGGCAGGTGCTGGGGCTGCGGCTGCTGGTTGTAGTACGGCTGCTGGCCCTGCTGGCAGTAGCCACTTACACCTTGCTGACCATACTGAGGTGGGATCTGTTGGAAGAGTCAAGCAAAACAAACGCATGAATGGGAGCAGAAGGACACAAAATCAAGCCATGTCCCACCCATATGGCAACCTCAGCACAAGTGATATCCTCAGCTGCACACCTGACCTGGCGGTCTGACTCCTTTACTCTGCAGTTAATGGGAGCCCTTAGATCCTCTTGCCTTAGCAGGAGGAGTAAGCCCAAGTGCTCTGCATAGTTATTCTTTCCAGGAAGAGCTTCTAAGGAAAATGCTGTACATCTGAACATCACAATTCTGTAATGCCCACCCTTAAAACACAGAAGCAGTTATTTGAAATATTTGCTCTCCATGGGTGCACTACAGAGGCAAATCAACAGAGGAATCATTCTGATGTGCTGACCCCAAAGTTGATTTGTGGAAAAAAGGCACAACTCTTAAAAAAAGACACTGAAAGAGAAATGCCTTTTGTCTTTTTTTTTTTTTTAATGCAATTTTACTGATTTTTATTTACTGTTTTGTGTGCAATCCTCAGGTTTTTAGTATTTTTGTATTTAAGCCTTACACAAAGTCTTGGGGTTTGGTAAGATTTTGGTTTCATCACGTTCAATCTTTCTTAGTCTTCTCCCCCCAGTAAGATATATTTTTTAAAAATAAGAACAAAATAATGTGTTACACACCAGTTAGAACCAAAACCAAGTCAATTACAATGTCAGAGAAATTTTCTGCATTGGTTTAGTCTGTAAGCCTTGTATCAATAGACACTGACATTTTCTCGAGATATTTGAAAGAGCACACTTTCACTGGACTGCTGACATGGTACCCAGATTTCCCTGATTTTAGGTACCCATTCTTTTCCCCAGTTTCTGGAATTTAATAGCATTTCAGAAAAATAACAGGTGTAGCACACGACTTCTCCCTTCTAGAATGGACCTTCCATTGGTCCTGCACATCCCTGCCCAAGCAAGTGTCTCAAATACCTGAGCACATCTGAAATGCTTTGATCTCTGAACTGTTCCCACTGAGTTTCTGATACAATGATAAATCTGCTTATTCAACAAGAAAACACACACCTCTTTTACCTAAAGTGAATTTACTACATTCATTCAACAGTATTTGTTAGACGATAATAATAATAATAATAATAATAATAATAATAATAATAATAATAATAATAATAATAATAATAATAATAATAATAATAATAATAATAATAATAATAATAATAATATACGAAGTTAAATCTAAACACCTGCTTAGGCTGTTTTTATTATCACAACTTGATCTGCTTCTATTACTTCTGCCAGAAGTTGGCAGTCCTACCTCTTGGTTACTCCTAAGGTCAGCACTGTAACCCCACTCCTGCACTTGCTCCTTGCCTTCACTTCCATTTCCTTTCCCATCATTTCACAGGCAGTTGAATGTTTCTGTGACCAAAGCAACCCTTTCTGACAAATACCCTCTCCCCGATGATGCATAAATGAGGTCTTTATAATGCAAACTAAAAAGGGTGTGTTGGAATATCATCAGGCAAACAGACAGCTGGAGTCTGAGATCTGACAGAAGACCACATGGTGATTTGCCCATCATCTGCAAAGGTCACAGAGCCTGGATTGGTTCCTAGTAAATGCTGAGAAGAACCTATGTTGTGGTCCATCTGGGTTCCAGTTACACTGGGAAGAAAAGGAAAGATACCCAGACAGCAAAATATGGGCTGGTGGAAAAAAAAAAAAAAAAAAAAAAAAAAAAAAAAAAAAAAAAAGAAAAAAGAAAACTCGAATGCCCAGTTGACAGGATGGTAACAAAGCGAAAGATCAGATGCATTAACAACCAGAATATTTCTATAATAAAGAACTGAAGTTCACCTGAACATAGGAGCCAGGTCACTGGTACATAAAGTGCAAGAAAATGAAATTTTAAAATGAAGAGGGAATTAGAACACATAGTTAAAATGCGTGGTATTGTTATGCCAAATGAAGACATGGAGATTCTGGGTCATCAAGCAAAGATGCTGAGAAGAATCAAAGGATGAAAAATGGATATGTGACTGCAGAGTAAATAGAGTGGCAATAAGAATTTCCAACAATACATGGACTTCTACAGAAGGAGGGGTAGACTGGATCACTGGAACATCAAATTGCAAACAAAAGCACTAATAGTAGTCATATAAGAAATATGGTAGAAAGAAAAAATTTGTGGGTCACCTGTAGGCATCATCCTAGGATAGAAATTCAGGGAGAAGACCACTAATAACAAAGTAATATTATATGCTACATAGCATTTAAAAGCTAATCAAAATAAAACTCCACCTCACCGAGCAGCAGAGGTCTGGAGCTTGGTCAGATCAAGAAGATTGAGTGCTGGAACCACCATGCATGGCCAGACTGCAACAACGCTGACAGCAGCAAGATCAGCAAAAGGCACGCCGCAAGATTGATTAGGGGGAGATTTCAACTCCTCCCAGACAGACTGAATAAGCAGACTACAAAGCTGAGACCAAAGTATCCGATAACTGTCAAGGGTTGCTCCATGGAACTGCTGGTTAAGGAACCTGCATGAGGAGACACTGCCGCCACTGCCTTTGGCTCAGTCCAGAGCAGCAAGAATCATCTACTACTGCATCCTGCAGCTGCAGAACTGCTGTGCATCAGTGACCATAACAGAGTTAAATTGAGCATCCCTACAGGAACAATGAAACCCAAGGAATCTACTACTGTCGTGCTTAACTTCAGAAAGTGTAACTACACAAAAATGAGAAAGCTTGTTAAAAGGAATCTCTAACAGACAGCTACGAGAAATCAAATCTGACTGGCAGCATCAAAGCTGTTTAACAACAACCACATGGAAAGCACAGAAACAATATTCGCCACCCATTCAGAAAGATTTGATAAGAGCAAAAGGACACCAGCAAGGCTCACTGCAGCTTTCTAGAGGCAAAAAGGCATCCCCTTCAATAAGCCAGCACTGGGTCCAAATGAGGAAAACAGAAAAGACTGTAAACTCTGGCACTTCAAATGTAATAAGACAGGCCAGAAAGAACTGTTGGAACAGCTAGAAAAGGGAATCAAATGAGTAATGATTCATTTCTTCAAACACATCAGAAGTAGGAGGTCTGCCAGAGTCTGAAGTGACGAATGATGATGAAGGTATAAGGGGAGATACAGAGAGCACAATACCATCACAGAGAAGCTTAACAAAATCTTTGGCTCTAGTGTGCACTGTGGAAAAATCTTGGGGTGTTGCCATGCTGGAGTCCTTTGTGAGGGACTTGATAAATGTCTCTGAATCTGATGGGACTTTTCATGGAATAAAGTGACAAATGAACAGTCAGAAGTGGCTCGGGACCATAAAGTATCCCTCCAGAGGTCTAATCAAATTCAAAAAGCTGAATTACTAATGATCATATACAGCCTCTAAATTGGAGCTGCCTTGGTAGGTGAGAACTGCAGTACAGCTTAAAAAGAAAAGTCAGAGATTTGAGTAATTTAAGACTACATAACACTGATGACTGTTCCGGATAAATCAGGGCAGATAAGAATGAAGATGAAATTTAGGAAAGATCAACACAGCAAAAGAAAATCTCTCTCTACTGACTTCTTGAACTTACTAGGAAGGGTCAGACAAAAAGGTTCAGGGAAACGCAACAAGAATCATCATCATCATTCCATAAAAAGAATCTATAACCTTCTGAGGATGGAAAAGACACCAGGAAGTAGGAACATGACGGAAAGCTACAAAAGCATCTTGTCCAACAACAATTAGGATGCATTCAATAGCAGAAGCAAACTTCAAAACAAGAGAGAAACAGGTCCTTTAGTCACAGAGGTAGCAGATGTTTAGAACTCCTTGCCAAATTGATGTTTTGAAAGCTGAAAGTTTCTGTGGGCTCAAGCAAAGACTGGACAAGTTCACAAAGAGACATCCTCTGAGGGTTACCAAATTTATAGAGACACATCTGGCTCAGGAAGTCCCTGAACTGAAAATAGCTGGAGGCTTGAAGAGTACTGGGGGAGAGTACCACATGCATGCTTTGCTCTGACTCTCCTCTAGGCCTCCAATTAAAGCCTCCACTGGAGGCAGGATATACTGGGCTACATGAGCCCTTTATCTGCCCTGACAGAGCCATGCCTACCTTCTCACCTCTTGGTAAAAGACAGTCGAGCCCCCAGAGACAACAATGAAACTTTGGTCTGTGAGATACTAAGGAACAAATGTAAGCAACCTGAAGAGGCAGTAAGACCTCGACTGCCAAAGCTCTGAGACTGCTCCATTTTCTTAAATATTTTCCCAAGCTATCTGATTTCAGACACTGGTTTAAGAAAGGGTACCAGGCTCTTCTTGTGATCTTACATACCAGTTACTTATGTTAGAATTTTCTTCCACATCCTCTCAATCCAAACTGTTTTAAAAAATGAACCAAATACCACCACATGAAATACAGCAAAAATCATAATGCTACATGTATGTTTGGATGCTTTTCTCTTCCGTGCAGAGACTCATCACCACTGCCTTAGCAGAACACTCCATATAATTGCTGTGGCTATTTAAATAAATAACAAACAACAACATGCAAATTAATCCTCCTGCTTTACTGACGGGGATCACAAGATACCGCTTATGGACAAATGTTTATTAAACAGCATTAATAAAAAAAAAAAAAAAGAAAGAAAGAAAAAAAAAGCTTAATTAAAATCTCCCCAGAACAAAACACATCTAAAGCAAATTACTTACAATGCTTGGAGTGAATGACCCAAGCATCCTCTCTCTTCATAAAGTAAACCCTCCCTCCCCTTCTCCCTTACACCCACATTTTTTTGTGCCCACACAATGCAGGAGACAAGAATTTGGCAAACTTCATCATGCCTGTGGTAGTGCAGACATTCTGGGGACAGTTGAAGAGAGAACAGTCCTGAGTTTGAATCTATTTCTAGGCAAGCACAGAAACTCTAATAATTACTTTGGACTCCTATCTGACTTGCACTGTATAAACAGCATTATTTTGAGAGAAGTATGACTGACCACCACTGATT